CCCCAAAACCCCAAAACCCCAAAACCCCAAAACCCCAAAACCCCAGAAGTTCTGAATAAAATTGAGCAAATTTTATGAATAACATATTATTATGGAAATACAGGTATTGGAATCAACTTCTGTGAGTTCTCATAACCAACAATATTCTTTGTGCTTTTAGAGCACTTATGAGGTCTTCTAGGGAGCTTTCGGAGAAAGTTCATTACATCCTCATCCTGTTGCTTAGGAGATAACTTTGGAGGTTTTAGCTTGCTTTTTAGACATAAAGGAATCGATGACATATTTTTCTTGTTATAAAAGTTCCTCGAGATTGAGCTTTGGAGGTTATTTCAACGAGTTATAACAGCCTCCCTTGGTTCTATCAAAATTGTAAGTTTATGCAGGAATATTATTTAATGAATCAAAAAGTGTAAACCCAGAATCCAGTGGAATTAAGAATTGTGAGTAACTTGGATTGGAGTAAAAACCCTTCTCTTTAGCTGGTACGATGACTTACTTTTGGCAGGCATTTTTAAACTCATCTAGTGGGCTTAGATACCTTACTGGGGTTCTATCCAGTCTTGAAATATCTCCTTTACTATCTTCTAAAATGTTGTTAGGACCATCCAGGAATAATTTGGGAATTAGATTATGAAATTTGTTATGAAGAAGAAACATGTAAACGTGGGTTTTCTTATAATAATGTTCATCCCAAATTGAAACATAATGAGGAATGGATGTGCGTAGCTAATAATCTTTCATTTCTCATCTTGATGTATATCTTCGTATGAATAATTATAAGTTACATAGCAAATTAGGCTCCTTAGCTATTTCTGGGTACAACCCAAGTGTTCATTGATTTATGTAGCTTACTGTTTGTAGGAACTCTAGTAATCGAAGAACTAGATAACGGTTGAGGGATGGCAACAGCTGATTTTCTTCCAAGAGGGCTAGCTTTTGACATCTGTTTCCCTTTCTTGATCAAAATCTTCGATAAGGCCTTATCGGTAAAATAAGCTTGGGAATGACGAGTTTTTCTCAATTTTATTATCTACATGTAACTAAGGAGAGTACTTTTAAACCATTCTTGTATCTAACCTTCTGTTTGAGGATGGCTCCTCTGCTTTGCTTGATCTTTGTTTTAAGGTCATTAGCAAGTTCAGGCAGAAAAGTTTTATTTTCCTTGCTTAGTTTGTCGTATGACTTCAATATAGCAAGCTTTTCACAAAAAGGAATGCTCTTGTCTAAATTTAGCGAATTTTTGATGGTAGTCTTATTGAACTTGATGCCGAATTCGTTCCTTGAACGTGAAGGGTTATCTTTGAGACCTAAAATTATGAGAGTGAAGTTACTCCTTCTGATGTTGACTTTGGCTTGGAGGTCTGATATAACTTTATTCATCTCTATGAATCTTTACACTCATATTTTATAAAAATGATTTGAAATCTCTCAAAACTATCTGAGGAAATCACCGATAACTCACAACTAAATTTACACTTTATCCTCTTCCCAAAACCCTCCTAAATGAACTTTACCTTTATCAAAGTATCCTGTTGAAATCTGTAAATATTATTGACAATTAAGAAATTTTGGTAGGGGTTTTGGGGTTTTGGGGTTTTGGGGTTTTGGGG